CAAAACAGATTTTCAGCAGAAAATAAAGGTCACTTAAGTAGTGTCGAGCAGCAGACACATGAACCAGCAGGTAACACGGTTAGCACCAGTAAAGCTAGCCTAAGAACCTTAGAAGCTGAGCTAACTAGCAGCAGCTATGTGAGCTCAGGTTTAGAGGTGACTATCGCGAGGTGAAGGGCGATAGAACTGAGTAATGACGCTGGTGACTCCGAACTTACAGGGTAAAGGCGGAGCCTGTCACCAGACGTTCAACATCACCACGTCACTGGTCTAAAGACGTGATTAGAGGTGGCTTCAGCCAGGCGAGCGTGTCCCATATACAACTGTGTGTTGAACTGAGTGAAATGACTGAAAAGGAACTCTGACAGCCTCGTGCACTCGTAGCTTAGAGTCAGTGCTTTGAGTGCATTTTGTTTGCATAATTTAGACCCTTAAAAATGTAGGAGAGACTAATGCAGAAAAAAAAGCCAAGCAACAAATTTTCTTCCTTGTTTGTTTCACCTTTCTATAAAGTTAGCACACAATGTTAAAGATGTGATACAAGAAACTGAAGGAAGGGAAACGCTGGGATAAAAAAAAAACCTGGAGGAAAAGAAAACACCTCGGACAAAGATGGATGTAGAGAGCAGAGGGAAAATAACAAATACCTACCCTGTGTAATGTTACTGTGTGCTGTTCCCAAATGACTGTCTCCTCCATTGCTGCACTCTGAAAGGCACAAACATAAAATGTTTAACAGAAGCCAAAGATAGGCATATGTTTTTTAATTTTTGTCAATAAGATCAGAGATTGGGAAAAATGTTTTCCTTATCCCAAATGCCAAACATCCCTGTTTTCTGTCTTTGCAGGTGTTTGTTAGCAGACTTTTAAATATAGAAGTCACAAATTTGCATAAAATCCTCAGCAGAAAGAGTTAGCTACACAGTAAAGTGTTTTCACTTTGCTCTACAGGAGCCAGACTTTCCTGATTCCTTTCAAGTGATTTTGTTGTTTTCTGTTTGTTTCTACTTGATCTGTATATTGAGTTGGGCATCAATTCCTGAGTATCAACTGGAACCAGGACTAACACTTGAATGATTCAATCATTCAAATTTAAAAAATTAGATTTGTAGTTTTGTTATCCAGTCCACCAATCAGAAAAAGTCTGCAAGTGAGCTGCTCAAACACCAATGAAACGAAATCTGCTTGTAGTGTGTGTGCAAATACTGCAAGTCTTATTCCACTGGCAGATTATTTCACTTAGTTTGAGTCTGAATCTTCTCAAATTAAGTAAAACAATCTGACAGTGAAATTAGACAATTGCACTTAGTAAGACTTCTTGAAATAAGGAAAATTTCCAAGCTAACAAGATTAACAATCTAACACTTTCTGCTCTTGTTTAGTATTTTAGTCTCAAAACAAGATCAACATTACTTTTTGGCTGGATCTAAGGTTATAAGACTTGGTTAGATGGACAGTTTTTGCAGAGTACCTCCTGTGAAAAGTACAATCATAACATTTATATTCAAGTTCATAGGTTTGATATTTATAGAGTTTGAGGATTTCTTAGTGAAGTTCATAAAAAGTCAAACGTTCATAAGACTATTTCATCCAGAAAGAACCCTGGTTAGTTACCTCATTTAAACCATGTCAACTTGTTTGACCCTGACTCTAAAAACAATCAGAATCAGTCTCTTTTCATGTAGAACAAGCAGGGTTCAGTCCCATGTTTCTGGGCATTTTAGTTAAATCAGGATTGTGCCAACCTCCACAGCCTGCACACACAGCTGTGTTCAGTTTGAATGTTTGCTTTCCAAACACACCAAACATGATCTGTTCACTGGTGGCAAAGCAGAGACTGTCTTCCTTGCAGGTTCACATCTCTGTTTCATGAACACTTACAAAAGAAAAGATGAAGGTCGACCCGGTAAACTGTTAAAAATCCTCCGCACTCACGTTTTATCTGATCTCTGCCTTAGTCCTTTTCACATCCACTATAATCTCATGAGGCATTTCACGTTTAGTGAACGCACATAAAATCCTATCAGATCCATCCCCATGAGGTAAATTACAACCCACTTCACAGCCTCAAATGATATCGCCTCATTTGTCATATAAACTTATCCTAAGGCTGTCACCTTAAAAGGTGAGTAACACAGACGGTTCTTTCCTGCTTTGCTTGCACTTTTTTTTTACACTCGACACACAATAAAGTGCTCCAAGTTACAGCACAGAGGTAATTCAACACATAAAACCCAACAGAAAGGGAATTACATTATGTACCTTTTTATAAACCAGCACAGAAACATTTAAAAACGTAATGTTATGCATATAACTACTGTTCCCTGAAGGAAAGGAACGAGGTACAACATCATGTATGGGAACCACGCCCCTGCGTGTCCTGGCTGAAGCCACCTCTAATCACGCCTTTAGGCAGGTGACGTGATGACGACAGATGTCAGGCTCCGCCTGTCGCCATCACAGTCACTCCTTAAGTTCGGTGACTGCTCTTCACCGAGCCCAGCTGTGCAGCGGGGGGCCATCATGTGTTGTACCTCGTTCCTTTCCTTCAGGGAACAGTAG